TGCACATACACAAGCGTCTTTTATTGTTTTTTTTTTTAAAATTTTTTGTTAATTATTTATTAATTATTGTTCCTTTTTTATTACATGTTATTGTCCACTTATTACGTTATGAAATTTATTATTGTTCAGTTATTGTGATCAAATTTTTATACTCAATGTGCTTAACAAATTGCAAGGCAACTAAACTCTTGATTTGTATCCTAATTATAATTTTTAAAATTTATGACAATTGAAAGCTTTAAGTGATAAATTTAACTTAAATTAATTTTATTATCATGTTTGTTAAATATAGACTACAATATGATAATAATGAGTATNCTAGTCTGATTTTATAAATTATATCGTTTTACAATTAAGCCGTAATAAGCCTAGTGAAATTGGATGATTTTTTTATAAAACGTGGACAAAGCCGAACGGTTCAACCTAATCCTAACTGGTCTATTTTAATCAATAGTTACTTTTATACAGAATATTTAGACCGAAATTCCAAGACCTTCAACGGAAGGCCATGTTGCATGCTACGTATACAGACGGAGCATGGCAGTTGTTTGCTTTTGTCAACGCAAAGGTAAATGCCGGTTTTAAAGTCACAAAGTAAGAGTGTGTTTGTTAACTAAATTCAACACTTAAAATACATATATTTGATACTTATTCATTAAATTTATTTGATAATTAAAATTTAAATTCTTTTAATATGTTAAGTGCTCTTTAGAAATATGTTACAAAATTAAGTAAGAGATCTCTTACTTAATTCTGAAAATTAAAAATATTCAGCACAACTTCTTTAATAATATTTACAATATAAAAATTATGATTCGACATATTTTACAGTCCTATTAAAACTCTAATTAATCTTCTCTCAAAAATTTCTAACCTATCTATCCTCCTAGTCGTTCGTTTTCTTCGGCGGGTAACAGGTAAGTTTCTTCCCAGTCTATTTTTTCTTTTTTTTTTCTTCCCTTGTCTTGTCCAACAAACATATACATACACAATTACACACACAGATGGACGCACACATTGGACACACACAGACACATGCACTACACACACGTAGAGTTATACAAACACAACACAGAGAGAGTTTAAAAGTCTACACACTTTGCACGCACATACACACGTGCGCTGCATGCACATGTTGTGCACATACACAAGCGTCTTTTATTGTTTTTTTTTAAAATATTTTTTAATTATTTATTAATTATTGTTCCTTTTTTTATCACATGTTATTGTTCACTTATTACGTTATGAAATTTATTATTGTTCAGTTATTGTGATCAAATTTTTATACTCAATGTGCTTAACAAATTGCAAGGCAACTAAACTCTTGATTTGTATCCTAATTATAATTTTTAAAATTTATGACAATTGAAAGCTTTAAGTGATAAATTTAACTTAAATTAATTTTATTATCATGTTTGTTAAATATAGACTACAATATGATAATAATGAGTATAATTTATGTTATAAATTAAATTGATTTCATATATCATAGTTTTTTATTAAATAAAAATATATTTTATAAACATTTTCAAATTAAAGGTGAAAAGGGTAAAACTGAAAATTAATTTATTTTCAGTACTTATTAAACAATTTAATTCAATTCAAAACTTAAATTTCAGTGGGTACTAAACAATCCACGAATTTAGACTTTAAACTTTAGTTTTAGTTTTCAGACTTCACCTTTCAGTTTTATCAAATACCACGCAAATCTTATTTTTTTATGACCTCTCGTTGATGTGGGATAACGCCCCATTTTGCATTCTAAGTTTTTTATCCCTTGACACAAGCCTAATGATATTTGTCTTTTTGTTCCAATTTTTTTTATCTTTCTCTTCTTCTTTAGTCTCATACAATGAGTAACACGTGTCTTAAGGAACAACAAAAATTTACGAGAGATGTTTGTGACCGTTGGATGAGTCTATTTGAAATCATCGAATAGACTTATTAAATCATCTCCTGTTTTATATTATAGATTATAGTTTTACTTGCAATAATCATATCATAATATCACTTGATGCTCTATTAAATTTTATAAATTACCAAAGACATGAGATACCATAAAAATGATCATCAAATTCACAATCAAACAAAAACCACAACATAACCCTTTTCACGGCGAAACCCAAACCAACGAGACCACTGATGTTGATATCTTCACAAGATGGCACAAGTTGCTGGTCTGATTGTCTTTCCCACACACTAAACTCTTCCTTTCCCTCACTAGATCATAGTCGAAATAGCAACTGAGCAACAAACAAATATACACTGCCTGAATTTTTGCCGTCGAATCTCTATTCTAACGAGATAGAGAGAGAGAGAGATGGAGAAGGGAGGTGATACACTCAAAGGTACTACAGTAAAAAAAATGGATCCAACTAGGTTGGACTATAAGACAAAAAAGAATAAGTGATGTGTCCTTAATGCCTTAAAAATATCCTACTAGGGCTTTTTGGCTTAAAAGATTTTGGGGATAGAGTTTTGGCCAATTTTCACATGTTTAAAATAGAATTTGGTGAGAATTTATATGGTTTGATCTTGTAACACTTTATTCACTTGGATTCAAAACTAACGTCCTACCTTACGAAATCCTTATCAATTGATGGAAAGGTTTTGACCAATGTAGAGGTTGTGTCAATTTGGCAATTGGTCGTGAAACAGAAAGAAGAACTAGTAAAAGACAAAAATGCAAGGGTAATAAGGTCATTTTCGTAGAACTTTTAACAATGTTGATTATTGAGTTTATTCAAAAAAAAAAGNTCGAAATAGCAACTGAGCAACAAACAAATATACACTGCCTGAATTTTTGCCGTCGAATCTCTATTCTAACGAGATAGAGAGAGAGAGAGATGGAGAAGGGAGGTGATACACTCAAAGGTACTACAGTAAAAAAAATGGATCCAACTAGGTTGGACTATAAGACAAAAAAGAATAAGTGATGTGTCCTTAATGCCTTAAAAATATCCTACTAGGGCTTTTTGGCTTAAAAGATTTTGGGGATAGAGTTTTGGCCAATTTTCACATGTTTAAAATAGAATTTGGTGAGAATTTATATGGTTTGATCTTGTAACACTTTATTCACTTGGATTCAAAACTAACGTCCTACCTTACGAAATCCTTATCAATTGATGGAAAGGTTTTGACCAATGTAGAGGTTGTGTCAATTTGGCAATTGGTCGTGAAACAGAAAGAAGAACTAGTAAAAGACAAAAATACAAGGGTAATAAGGTCATTTTCGTAGAACTTTTAACAATGTTGATCATTGAGTTTATTCAAAAAAAAAATNCTTCACCTTTCAGTTTTATCAAATACCACGCAAATCTTATTTTTTTATGACCTCTCGATGATGTGGGATAACGCCCCATTTTGCATTCTAAGTTTTTTATCCCTCGACACAAGCCTAATGATATTTGTCTTTTTGTTCCAATTTTTTTTATCTTTCTCTTCTTCTTTAGTCTCATACTATGAGTAACATAACACGTGCCTTAGGGAACAACAAAAATTTAAGAGAGATGTTTGTGACCGTTGGATGAGTTTATTTGAAATCATCGAATAGACTTATTAAATCATCTCCTGTTTTATATTATAGATTATAGTTTTACTTGCAATAATCATATCATAATATCACTTGATGCTCTATTAAATTTTATAAATTACCAAAGACATGAGATACCATAAAAATGATCATCAAATTCACAATCAAACAAAAACCACAACATAACCCTTTTCACGGCGAAACCCAAACCAACGAGACCACTGATGTTGATATCTTCACAAGATGGCACAAGTTGCTGGTCTGATTGTCTTTCCCACACACTAAACTCTTCCTTTCCCTCACTAGATCATAGTCGAAATAGCAACTGAGCAACAAACAAATATACACTGCCTGAATTTTTGCCGTCGAATCTCTATTCTAACGAGATAGAGAGAGAGAGAGATGGAGAAGGGAGGTGATACACTCAAAGGTACTACAGTAAAAAAAATGGATCCAACTAGGTTGGACTATAAGACAAAAAAGAATAAGTGATGTGTCCTTAATGCCTTAAAAATATCCTACTAGGGCTTTTTGGCTTAAAAGATTTTGGGGATAGAGTTTTGGCCAATTTTCACATGTTTAAAATAGAATTTGGTGAGAATTTATATGGTTTGATCTTGTAACACTTTATTCACTTGGATTCAAAACTAACGTCCTACCTTACGAAATCCTTATCAATTGATGGAAAGGTTTTGACCAATGTAGAGGTTGTGTCAATTTGGCAATTGGTCGTGAAACAGAAAGAAGAACTAGTAAAAGACAAAAATACAAGGGTAATAAGGTCATTTTCGTAGAACTTTTAACAATGTTGATCATTGAGTTTATTCAAAAAAAAAATATAATTAATTATTTTCAAGTACGTAAATTCGTTTCATATTGTCGTAAAATTAAATATCTTTTATCTTTTAGACAAAAAAAATAACCATATCTGGTTATATTTTAAGATAAAATGAGACAATTTTCTCTCTAATTTTTAATGAATAATTGTAATTTAAAAATTATAAAACTAACGACTGTAATTGAAAACATAATAGGAGAAACATGAGAGCTAGACGCAATTTAAAAACAAAGAATCTAATTAAGGGGATGAAAATAATCTATATCATTTGTTCTTTTGTTTTTTAATCAGGTTAGTACCAGAAATCTCCAACATTGTGAAATCAAAATCCCTTGGATTCTGGAAATCTAACGGTTGGCATCACATGATCACACGCCTTAAACGGCCTCAATCTTTGTTTCCTAATTGGAACAAAGCTGTACAAACTACACATACACACGTACAGCAAAAAAAGAAAATGTCACCACTATATGCAGTTATGTACTACGACAGAATCAAGAACCATTGCAAAGCATTCCTTGCCCTTCAAGAATACCAGAATATCAATTTCTCTCTCTAGGGTTTCATCTCCTATCCTATCTCTCTCTCTCTAAAAACATCTGTTGGACCTTTACAGAACCATCAGCAACAATGGTGTTTCGGAGAGGCGATCGGGTGGAAGTTGCAAGCAAAGAAGAGGGGTTTAACGGTTCATACTACGCAGCAACAGTAATTTCAGAGCTTCTGAAGAAAGAGTACATAGTGCAATACAAGACCCTCCTGAAAGATGATCTATCTGGACCTTTGAGAGAGATTGTCTCCGTCGACGAGTTCCGGCCGGCACCGCCTGAGATTCCGGCTACTGGGTTGGGTTTGTATGACAAAGTTGATGCTTTTGACAATGATGGCTGGTGGGTTGGGAAGATCACTGGGAAAATTGGGAACGAGTTCTTCGTGTATTTTGAGACTACCGGAGATGAGATTGTTTACCCATTGGAAAACTTGAGGATTCATCAGGAATATGTAGATGGTAAGTGGATTTGTTCAAGAAAAGGGGGTATCTTATGAGTTATGACCCTCTCTATCCCTGAAGATTGGGCTGTTTCTGACTATCTTATTTGGGTGTAAAATCTGTAGTTGTTCATGCTCTGTTTTGACTGTTTTTTGACCAATTTGTTATGTATGGTCGTGTCTAACTAGCTAGTTTGAATTTTTGCATGCTATCAAGGATCTGAGTCTTTTCGCCTCTTGGGTGTCACATCCTGTTAGCTTATTTGGGTTATATATTGGTCAATTATTTAGTATTAAATTCTTTGTTTTTAAAATCGTAGAGTGGGTTCATGGTTGTTTTTGGGATTCTTGTCTGGATCTTCCTTTATCTTTAATGAGATTTCTGTTTACTCTGGCTTCTTGGTACCCTATTATTTTGTACCTCATATCAGTGCTAATCTTAGTTCTTAGAGATTATCCTATGGTTGTGGTTTTTGGTATACAACCTAAAATCATGTTAGATTATATACAGCTGGAGCTACAACTATAGGTACAACTATATGAACAACTAGACTTCACCAAAGTCTTTGTAATCTATGTACAAGTAGTCTTATTATTTATTACTAACATGTCTATATCACAATATAAATACAAAACAACACCACCCATTTTGGGTGTGCAGACTCATCAAATTATAGTTTCGAAAAGTGGGAGCTGTAATTGATTTTATCTCTTCTATCTTTTTGGATGTGATTATAATTTTTTTTTCATTGTAGAACAAATGATTTTAAACATCAGATGATCGATTTTGAATTTTTTATTCAGGAAAACTATCAATAAAAATAATTAGATAGAATAACTATGACCTTATCAACTGATAGTGAAAGAACAAATTCCGGATACATACAAATACCTTGGTGTAGAGATAGGAATCAAAACAAATAACTCTCGCATTGTTTCAGGTCTTGATTCCGTTGGGCTCTGTCTCAGGTTTTAATCTCTCTTAAGTGGATTTATGCAACACTTTCATTTGTTCAACAGCTTATGGTTTTGTTTTTGGTTTAGTTCTTTGTTTATTGTAACTATTTCTCCCTAGTATGCTATCTTTAGAAGTTGGAACTTGATGGGGACTTCTACAGACACTTCTTTAGTTCCGATTTTTTATGGTCAGTTTTCATCCTGTGAATGTGTTTGTAATTGGATTTAAATCCTTTTCAGTATATTTTTTATTTTATTTTATATTATTAGTTTTTCCAATAGATTTTTTTAAGGAAAAATGCTATGCGTATCAAAACATTTATAAACAAACCTCTTATAGTTTTACCAAATAAGTTGACAGTTTCATATCAGGTTTTGTCTCACAACAAACTGATCAAACTGCTTTTGATAGAATGTGCAGTTGTCAACTCATTTGCTAAAACTGTTTTTTTTTTTGGTAAATGTGATGGTATGGATAGCATTGCTCATTTTTAAGTGGTGCTTACTATATAAGTGCTGTTCCATTAATATACAAGTAGTAATCACACATGAAAATTTCTGTGAATTCCCTTATTAAAGATAAATGGTGATTAAGATTGATATTGATTTATTTTTGCCCCGGCATTGAATTAATTGTGGCTGAAAGAGGAAGCTAGAGAATGCAGGTTTCAACAGTGATGCAGTATGTTAGCCATACTAATTGTGGCATGNGAAAATTTCTGTGAATTCCCTTATTAAAGATAAATGGTGATTAAGATTGATATTGATTTATTTTTGCCCCGGCATTGAATTAATTGTGGCTGAAAGAGGAAGCTAGAGAATGCAAGGCTTTAAATTAAGAGATTATTGGTGAATATTAAGGTTTCTTTTGCACTATATTGAAGATATCTGCATGTTTTGGGTAAATTTTCTCATATGTATTTGATTAGATTGAAAGTTTTATAAGAAAGTTGTAGGAAAATTTTATTTTATAGTTTGAAAAGCATAAAAGTTACAAGAAAACTTTCAAAATGATTGACCAACTAAGTATTTTAGAAAAAAAAAAAGTAATGGAGACTCAAATTATACATCATCACTCTTTTTTCTTTNAGAAAGTTGTAGGAAAATTTTATTTTATAGTTTGAAAAGCATAAAAGTTACAAGAAAGCTTTCAAAATGATTGACCAACTAAGTATTTTAGAAAAAAAGTAATGGAGACTCAAATTATACATCATCACTCTTTTTTCTTTTTTCTTTTGNTTTATAAGAAAGTTGTAGGAAAATTTTATTTTATAGTTTGAAAAGCATAAAAGTTACAAGAAAACTTTCAAAATGATTGACCAACTAAGTATTTTAGAAAAAAAAAAAGTAATGGAGACTCAAATTATACATCATCACTCTTTTTTCTTTTGTGTGTGTGTGTGTGTGTGTTTTCAGCACGAAAAAGTCATTTTCCTTTTACACCATCCAAACACAACAAAAATTATAGAATTTTCTCTTTTTAGTATTTTCTACTAATCATCCTCTAACCAAACATATACAATTAATTTTTCAGGCATATAAAACCTTTGTTCTTTATGCACCGAGAAATTATCCGCATGGATTTCAAGTGCCTCTAATANATTTTCTACTAATCATCCTCTAACCAAACATATACAATTAATTTTTCAGGCATATAACACCTTTGTTCTTTATGCACCGAGAAATTATCCGCATGGATTTCAAGTGCCTCTAATCGGAGACTCGAGCTTACAATTTTTTTTAGAGTGGGATGGTGGTCAAACTTATCTATCAATTGGGGTTTGATTATTAGAATGGGTGTAACATTGATTTTTTTTTTTTTATCTCAACTTTCAAGTTTTAATNGGTCAAACTTATCTATCAATTGGGGTTTGATTATTAGAATGGGTGTAACATTGATTTATTTTTTTATCTCAACTTTCAAGTTTTAACGTCTATGTTTAATAAAATTTACATAGTCGTTGCATTTTATAATTTCTCCCTATTCCCCATCATTTTTGCTCTCCTATCGTAAAATGTGGGTCGCCCATTTGCCAATGCCAAGGAATTTGCTGGACATCTTAGCAAAGGAATTTAACTGCGCCTATCTTTCTCCATCTTTAAAAGTTTTAAGGTAAATTGTATGACAATTTTGTAAATGACNCATAGTCGTTGCATTTTATAATTTCTCCCTATTCCCCATCATTTTTGCTCTCCTATCGTAAAATGTGGGTCGCCCATTTGCCAATGCCAAGGAATTTGCTGGACATCTCAGCAAAGGAATTTAACTGCGCCTATCTTTATCCATCTTTAAAAGTTTTAAGGGAAATTGTATGACAATTTTGTAAATGAATACCAATTTGGTTTTTTAGTCAAGAATATGGATTTTGTTTTTCCTTCTTTGGTTTTTTGAAATTTATTGGTTAATACTATACAACTATCTTTATGGTTTGTGTATGCATTGAAGAAAGTTTATTCTCATCTCGTATTGGGTGTTTTTTTGGCAAATAGGTGGCTGACTTGATATATACAACTTAACCTTTATTGAGTTTCTATTATGCTCTCTTTTGGGTTTTTTCTTTCACTCTTCCGTGAGTGCTTTGTCTTCTGCACTAAATTCATTGATCAGAAATTGTANTTTCCTTCTTTGGTTTTTTGAAATTTATTGGTTAATACTATACAACTATCTTTATGGTTTGTGTATGCATTGAAGAAAGTTTATTCTCATCTCGTATTGGGTGTTTTTTTGGCAAATAGGTGGCTGACTTGATATATACAACTTAACCTTTATTGAGTTTCTATTATGCTCTCTTTTGGGTTTTTTCTTTCACTCTTCCGTGAGTGCTTTGTCTTCTGCACTAAATTCATTGATCAAAAATTGTAACAGTNAACTTAACCTTTATTGAGTTTCTATTATGCTCTCTTTTGGGTTTTTTCTTTCACTCTTCCGTGAGTGCTTTGTCTTCTGCACTAAATTCATTGATCAGAAATTGTAACAGTCAATTTTTTAATAACAATCCACCATTGCATATCACCAAAAAAAAAAAAAAATGTACTAGTAGTGGTGACCAATGCAGTATATTGTACAATAAGAAGAACAGTTTAGGCAAAGTTGTTTGAGGGAGGGGGCTACATTAATAGCTATCAGTTTAAGGCGTAGTTAAGCCAATAAAGAATTGGGTTTAAAAGTTGGAGATCTTGCTTTGAAGTCTTTTAATGGGGACCATTCCTAGTGATTTATCAAGTTGCATTGGCAGGAACATTAAGATATCTAGGTATGTTCAGGTCGATTGAAAAAAATGGAGAGAGAGAAGCAAACTTAAGTAACTGTCAAGTGTCTACTCATTTGGAAGGCTGGAACAAACCAGAACCAAAATTAAGTTTTTAGCTCATTTAGTTAATCAAATTCAGCTAATCGACCAATAAGTCCCATAACTTTAGAATTAGAACCCAGATTGATAATTGTTCCCATGCATGTCTTTGTCCGGTTTTTGAACTGAAAATTTGAAACCACATGATATAGTTTCTTTATTTAATTATGTTTTAAATTTCCTATTCGATAAATAATAGAAGTTGATGGTGTAATTTATGCGATCGAGTAGCAAAGCTCAGGGCTAAGAAAGAGGGAAACGGATTGCAGATTTGTATGGGACATTAATGGAGTTCACTGAAATATCCTGTCAGAGTTACTAGGCTTTCGATGGCNAAATTCAGCTAATCGACCAATAAGTCCCATAACTTTAGAATTAGAACCCAGATTGATGGCTAAACAATCAATACAAGTTTAATAAACAATCAATACAAGTTTAATAATCGAGAATGTAAATCAACAGACAAGGTGCTTATAGTGACTCACTAGTTTGGAAGAGTGGCTAATCTATTTTAATTGAGTCTCTTGCTCTAGGAGAGTTTTTTACTGCTTGGGAAAGACTATTACAATACTCTTGAGAGCCAATTCATAGTTATTCGATCATTCACTATGTGATGGATTGATCCGTATTTATAATGAGTAGGTGCATGGCCTTTGCGTAAATAGTGTCACTCCCTCAAAGTCGTTGCAGTCCATGTGATAGAATATTTGGGCGTTAGAGGCTACATTCCCTAGGGGTGATGTGACTTCTAGAAGGTGCAAGCTATCGTTGTCATAGTGCGTACGAGGGCCACATTGGTGCTACCTCCCACTCTACGTTTCCTAAGCAAGGGGCCACAAGCTAGGTGGATAGGGATTAGGAGCTCGGCTCGTTCACCCGACCTTAGTTGTCTTGAACTAGAATCCAAGTTCTAACATCGTCATGCAGGCCACTATTGGGGGCATGTTTTCAAGTTACTACTAGTCCGAACTTCACCTTGAATAATTTTTAGTATCGTTAGCTGTCTCCAAGTCCTGAGCCAGGCCTGCCTTGTCTAACATGGGTTGGGAATGACCTGCGCTTCTAGCTATGGATAAGCTCGGCTCAAATTTATTTGGAATAGGTGATGGGAAGTTTCCCAAAAATTTTGGCGTTGCGACTTGTTCCTTGGTTATCGCACACGTTCGGCATTGTTGTGATACACCTTCAACTGTACGAGTGCCTTTAATGCCTTTGTAGAAATACTGCTAAAACGTACCTAGAGCACCTTTAATGCCTTGGTTTCCCATTATCTATGCTTTTTCTAGAAAAACTACTCTCTGTCATTGCCTCTTGCGATTCGATCTTCTTTTTCTCTTTGCATGTTGCTGAAGCTAACTTAGTGAGTGCCAAGACTACTTGAAGCACTTCCGAAGCTTCCTTTACTCTTCCCAGGCGTTTTTCTTGGTCTCCAGCAGTTGATTGTCTTCGCGTTCTAAGTACGTTTTTTGTCTCATTTCCTTTTTAGCTTCTCTCTCCTAGGTTTTCCTGATTAACCTTGGATTCCTCGAATATAAGGTGGTTATTCCACTTTGGGTCATTTTGTTTTCATCTTTTTAGGGGTTCGGGTTGATTTTTTTTGGACCCCTACGCGACTACTAGGGCTTTTCTATTTGGTCGTTGTGTTTGGATCCTTGAGCAATTGAGGATTGTTCTCTGAATGTTCCTTCCCTCTACTCTAGCTTTGGGTATTTCACTCCTTGTACCTCCATGTCTGCTTCTTCTAAAGCCACAACGTCTTCTATTTACCTTGCTATGGTAGATAGATCTCCTCAGATCCGATCTTGTCATCATAGATGGATTGGTTATGATAATGAGGACGATCTGCCAAGCTCCCCCGAGGTGAGCAAAAAGGTTACTTTGTCTGACCGTGATGAGATAGATGACCTTGGAGACGAGGGCGATGAGATAGATAACTTTTCCATGGTCGATATGGTCAAAGCCTAGGGTGTTAGTCCTAGGGCCCTATTGTTCTTCCCTGGCTTAGCTGCAAAACCTAAGAAATATCGAAAGAGGCGGGCTAGGAAAAATGTCATCGGGGCCTCAGGTTTTGCTGGAGAAAGTGAAAATGCCCCGAGCACCTCAAACGCCTCAAGACCTAGTAAAATTACCCTCCCCAGCTTGGCACACTTTCTGCCAAATTTGGCTTCCTTAGGAATATGTGCATCTCGTGTCCCAGTGTTGACAATTGTTACAATATTGTGCTTCCTAAGAAGACTTGCTTATTCACTGTTGCTTTAGAGAACGGGCAGAGATTTCCAATGCGTCCCTTCCTAAAGTTTGTGCTCCAGCACTTCAACATGTGTCCAGCTCAATTCTTCCCAATTTTTAGGGCATCCTAGTGGCACTTATGGTTTTCTTTAAAGAAAATGGCCTTGTAGGCTTTCCTTGTATTCTCTTACTTATGAATTTATTTATATTTCGAAACGGGTGAAGACTCATCCTTTGATAACCGATCTGTCGACCTCCCATAAAGGTTGGGAAGACATCTTGTTCTTCATGTCTATCCAGGAATAGGAGTTCAACCCAAGGGATGCTTCAGACACTTTTCTTGTGTCTCAAGCTTGGTCAGACCCAAATAACTTTGGTGAGTCCACGCCAAGGTGTCTTAATTGAGCTCTATTCTTATTTGTCCTTAATTCCTTTATTACTAAAGTCTTTCCTTATTATTTCAGGTATTCGCTTTGACCTTAGTGCTAATGACAATCTCCTCCCCTTAGACTTCAAGGAGTGCTCCTCAGATAAGTAAGCCAAGCTCATCTCGGCTTTGATCTTAGCTAAGCACGAATTAGGGCCGCTAGTGGCAAATGATGAAGTTGTTGTACCTCTTTCTGTAGTTAGAGGAGAAGACCATGATAAGACCTTTTATTTTTATCTCAATTTCATCCTATTTTATAGGATCCGTGGTTTATTAATCCCTTGTTTGTCTTTCCTACTTAGATCTTGACGCCATGGCTCTAGATGCTGATGTTGTTAGGGCCAAGTTGGCTAAGATGAGGGCTGATGCTAAAGCCTCAAAGGCTGCCGAAAAAAGGAAGGCTGAGATCGTGCCTGATGCCAACCTGGAGCCTTCGAAGAAAGTGCCAAGGAAGGACCCTAAGAAGAAGGTCCCTCATGCCCCCAGCCATCTACTAACACTAGGAAGGTCTAGATCTCCCTTCTGAGCTCTAGAAGACTTCTGGAGAGGTGGCCAAGACCTCTGCCACACCCAAGGAGGTGATCAAGACCTCTGTGGAGGCTACCTCACCCCTTCACGATCCCGTGCTAGTGCAGACTTCAAAGGAAATGGCTTCGAGGGTGCTCCATGGCACGTCAAGGTGCCCCTCAGCTAATGTGGCCAAGGGTGAGCACTCTTTTTTTAGTGACGTAAATCTAGCTACTAGTGCTATAATTTCAATAATTCCCAAAGCCCATATCCAGAAGGTTTCTTTGATGTCTCTTTCTACTTCAGCTACCAATGCCTTATTTGGGGCAACCTTAGTAAGTTTTCTGACCTTTGTCTTCAAGGTGAACTGGAATCCTCTTGTTGAGCTCTAACTTTGATTTTATTTTTGTTTTTGTAGATGGCGATACACATATGTTCTCTGGTGGGGAGAGTTCTAGCTTTAGAGAATACTGCTGAAGTTACTAAGAAGTCCCTCAAGACATTTGAGCTCAAGGTTGCAGAGCTGACCTTCAAGAATAAAGATCTTAAGAAGAAGGTCAAGGAGCTAAGCTCATCCAAAGAGAAGCTTGAGATTGAAGTCAAGTTGAAGATAGATGGTCTCGTGCAAGCTCGGAAGGATGTGGTGAAGGCTTAGGACGTGGCAATGTCAGCAAAGGACGACCTGAATGCGCTTGGCAAAGTCTGTGACACTTACCACAGAGAGTTCGAGGCTAAGAAGTTTAAGGTGGTTGACAGAGATTCCATCATTACTAATCTGAAGGATGAGAATGCCACTGCCTGGGCCAAGGGCTACTTCGTCTTTCAGAAGCAGTCCATGAAGAAGTACCCTACCCTGGACTTCAATTTCGAGCCTTTCCTTGGAGAAGAAGAGGGATCTTCATCTAAGGAGGGAGGAACCAACGAAGAGGAAGTTGGAGCCATGGGTGGGGTGATTCCTAACCTCATTCGGCTAGTGGTTGCTTCAGCCGAGGTAGAGAGTCCAACTCCTGTGTTGCTTGAAGGTCAGATGGACCCTACTATGTCTAAAGGTCAAATGAACCCGACTCCTACCTTACCTAAAGGTCAGATGGATGCCATAGTGACTGAAGATGCTGAAATGGCTAAGGGTCAAGAAGAGACTTCTACCCCAGCTGTAGATGCCTAGCCTTTTTTTCTTTATAATGAACTTTCAGCTCTGTAATTCCATTTGGTTTTGAATAGTAACTGGCTTTTGGAAAAACTTCTTCAATTGGTATCTTTTCCTTTCTCTACGCTTGGGACTATAAAGCTTGAGATTGTATATATTTCTTTCCTTTCCCCCCTACTTCAAGAAAGGTCTTTGGCCTTCTAGGAGTAGTTGTTTTAAAACTACTTGTTTATGGGGCCATGTCTGAGGTCTATTAGGCCCCTAGACTTGGACTTATTGAAGCATTTATGAGCTTGAAGAGCTCATCTTAAGTGTTTATAAGTTAAAGAGCTTATCAAGTGTTTATGAGCTGAAGAGCTCATCGTTTATTTATGAGCTTAACAGATCATTGTATTTTTATAAGCTAAAGAGCTCATGGTATGTTTATGAGCTTAAAAGCTCATCATATATTTATGAGCTTAAGAACTCATCGTATATTTATGAACTGAAGAGTTATTCTTGTTCTTTTAAAGGGATGAACATATTATTTAACTGCAATTAGCTGAAAAATGAAATTTTCATTTTCTGATTGAAAATTTTTACAAGGTATTTCTCCTCTTTTGCTTTACATGCTACATCCTACTACTAGTAAAATCTCTTCAAGTTATCTGTGTTCCACGAGTGAGGTAGGGTTTTTCCCTTTTCAGTTTGCAGCTCATAGTTTCTTGGTCTAATCACCCTTGTGACTATGTACGGTCCTTCCTACTTGGGTCCTAATTTCCCATTAGCAGGGTCTTTCCCAGCCAGTAGGAGTTTCTTTAAGACAAGATCTCCTACTGTGAAGCTTCTTTGCTTAACTCTCATATTGTAGTACTGCGTTGTCTTTCTTTGATAGTTTGAGATGTGTTATAGGGCTTTACTCCTCTTCTCAACTAGTAGGTCAAGATTAATGAGTAACGATCTGTTATTTTGTATGGATCTGCGAGCTCTATCCTCGGAGATGGAGCACCTGTTTCAAAAAGAACCACTACCACTGCACCATAGGCCAGAGCAAAAGGTGTCTCATTTGTGGCTGTTCTGGTAGTGGCTTTATAAGCCCATAGCACACCTGGAAAGTGCTTTACCCACTGGTTCTTCGAAGCTTCAAGTCTGGTCTTCAAAGCTACTTTGATAGTCCAAATGGTGACTTCTACTTATCCGTTAGACTACGAATGAGCTGGCGTCGAGAAATAGTTCTTTATGCCAAGCTTGGCGTAAAATCCTCTAAATGATGAATTCTTGAACTGCCTACCATTGTTTAAGACAAGGGCCCTTGGGATCCCGAACTTTCAAATTATGGATTTCTAAACGAAGTTTTAGTCTTTCTACTTTGTGAGCCTTGCAAGGGACTCCACCTTGGCCCACTTAGTGAAATAATCAACCCTGGTTATGACAAACTTGCACTGTCCCGTGCTAACTGGAAGAGGTTCAATTGCATCGAATCTATATTATTGAAAAGGCCAAAGGCTTATCACCAAGTTAAGGAGCTCTGGCGAACAATGCGGAATGTTTGTGTTGAGCCCGACGATCATTATACTTTGTACCCTGCTTCATTGTTTAAGGCCTAAAATCGAACCTGATGGCATACTCTAGGTCTATTCTATCTAGTGAGGTCAAGATCAAACCAGCTTCACTACCTTGTTCTTTGGATGCTCCGTCAATTGAGAGTTTCCATTTCGACAGGTCAGGGACGAGGTTGTTTGATTCATGAAACACCTCCTGTCCCGTGGGTGTGGTGAACTCTGCGATATAATCGACTAAAATCTACCCCTTAATGGTAGTTCAAGGCTTGTATTTGATGTTGAAATCACTAAGCTCGACTACCCATTTAACTAGTCTTCCCGATGACTCGAGTTTGTGCAAGACCTACTCGTTGGTTGATTAGTTGAACTTTCTATCGTATGAGCTTGTGAAATAAGGCTTAAGCCTTCTTATTGTTGTTGCCAAGGCTAAAACCAATTTCTCCATCTTCGGTTATCTCTCCTTTACTCCCCTCAGAACTCGACTGTAATAGTAGATGGGTTGTTAAGCCCTTTTTTCTTCTCTTACCAATGTTGCACTTATGGAGAAGTTTGAAACAACAAGGTATAGAGCAAGAACTTCCCTTTCTTGAGTGCTAACCAGAACTGGGGGTGAGCTAAGGTATTCCTTAAGAGCTTTGAATGCTTCCTCACATTGCTCGTCTTAATAAAATACTTCCTTCAATACCATGTAGAATGACTAGCATTTATCGATCTATCTGGAGACAAAGCGGTTTAGCACAGTTATTCTTCCTGTCAGACATTGAATCTCCCTTATATTTGCGGGTGATTTCATGTCGATCACTACTTGAACTTTCTTGGGATTGGCCTCGATGCCGCAACTATTGACCATGAAACCTAAGAATTTTCCTAAAGAGACCCCAAAGACACATTTTGCAGGGTTTAGCTTCTTCTTATACTTCTTGAGTATTTGAAAGGATTCTTTGAGGTACTAGATATGAAGCTTGATGATTTCACCCAGCATGTATTAATATAAACCTCCATAGATGAACCAAACTATCATTGAACAAACGATTCACCAATCGTTAATAGGTGGCCCTTATGTTCTTGAGTTCGAATGGCATGACCTGATAATAGTATGTCCCCTACTCATTCATGAATGATGTTCTATCGTGGTCATTGGGATCCATCCTGATCTGGTTGTATCCTAAGAAGGTGTCCATGAAGTTGAGCAACTCATGCCCTGTTGTGGTATCTACAATCAGGCCAATCCATGGAAGGAGGAAACTGTCTTTGGGGCAAGCATGATTCAGATCAATGAAATCGATGTAGAGTCACTAGTTGCCATTGTTTTTCTTCACGAGGACCACATTTTCCAACCAAGTTAGGTAATCCACTTCTCTGATGGCTTTGGCATAGTGGAGCTTGGAGACCTCTTCGTTTATAGCTTTTTGACGCTCAGATGCGAAACTTCTTTGTTTCCAGTTTATGGACTTGTAGGTCAGATCAACGCTGAGCTTATGCACTATGACTACTGAGTCAATCCCTCACATGTCCTCTTGTTCTCGATGAACACTTCAAAGTTTGCTTTGAGGAATTGGATGAGGAGGTGTTTGACCTCTTCGAGCAGTCTGGAACCAATGTACACTGGGTATCCTGGGTTATCATTTATTTGGACTGGCTCTAGCTCTTCTAAGGGTATAGGTCTCGTCTGTAACTCATCCCTCATATCCAGCTCATCCAGCTATATAGTTTTAACCTTTTTTTGCTTCATTGAAGCCCACGTAGCATTCCCTTGCTACGCTCTGGTCTCCTCGGACCATTCTTACACCGTTCTCAGTTGATAACTTCATCACTAGGTGATAGGCATATGGGATGAATCTCATAACGTTAAGGGAATGTCTTCTCAAAAGAACGTGGTAGGCTAAAAAGGCGTCCACCACTAGGAAACCCACTATCCTTGTCAACTGACATAGGGGGTCTGCCATTGTAAGAATGAGCTGAATGGACCCTAAGGGGTGCACTCTCTCCCCTGAAAACCTAAGTAGATAGGTTTTCACTAGCTCAAGCTTGTCTCTGCCTATGCCCATCTTGTCAAAGACCAATACGAAAATAATATCAACTGAGCTACCATTATCAATAAGAACTTGATGGATAGTTTTGTTGGCTATAATGGCCTTTACAACCAAAGGGTCATTGTGAGGGTGCTAGCACCCCTCCAAATCCGAGTCTAAGATGGTGATGTCCATGCTTAGCCAAGATGACTTAAGCACGGATTGTACTTACAACATATCTTCTGCTCGAGCCTTCCTCATGTGGGTTTTCCTTATTAAGCTCATCTCCCATCCTCCTACAAACCCTCCAGAGATAACCCTGATTTCACCTAGTGGTTGCTGATGCTGAGGAGGTATTTACTGCTGTGGAGTAGGTGGTAGGTTAGCTCGATCTTGATTGTCTTGTGCTACAAAGTGGCATAGCTGATCTTATTGGATCAGGAACTCAATCTCCTTCTTTAATTGAATACAATCTTCAATATGGTGGTCGAAGTCTCGGTGGTATTCGCAGTAATTCATCACATCTCATTTGTGGGGATCCGCCTTCATCCGAGGTGGCCATCTCAAGAATTTTTCATTTTGGACTTGGTACAAAATTTGAGAGATCATTGCATTGAGGGGAGTGGGCTAGTTTGGGGCATATTTTGGCTATAACCCCTAAGGAGGGGTATCCAGGCGATCTCTGATGTCACTGTTCCTCTTTGGGGAACGATATCCACCTCTCCTAGGGATCAGTCCCGACTTCAGTCCTTCCTAGGACTCCGATATCTTTTCTTCTCCTTTCTGTCCCTAAGTAGAGGAGTTCCCATATCTTCAGAGGAAAACCTCTTCACCATTGATGTATTTTTCTATTTTTCCCAGCACCTCAACTATACTAGCCTAGGGGTTTTTGGAAATCGAGAATAGTAGATCTTTCGATTGCACTCCCAACCCAGGTTGTGAGGGCAAACTTCTTATTAAGGGTGCCTACTTTTAAGGACTCCGAGTTGAATTTTTGAGCATAGCTCCGTAATGACTTGTTTGGACCCTACTTCACACTTAACAGGTGGTAGTAAGGTTTTTGGTAAGGTCGGGCCCCTTTAAAAGTAGGATACGAGTGAGATGGAAAGCTCCTTAAAAGTGGAAATCGAGATTGGAGATAGCCTATTGAACCAAGCTAAGGTTGAGCCCTTTATAGTGATAACAAAGGCTTGGCAGTGCACTGGATCACCGTATCTATGTAGTTTCATCAAATTTTTGTATGTGTTGAAGTGGTCAATGGGATCTTTTGTCCCATAAAATGTTTTGAACTAAGGCATATTGAATTTTTTAGGGAGAGAAAAGTGTAACACCTCAAGTGTGAATGGAGACTCCGTTTGCTAAACCAGAACATCCATGGTTATCAAAGCTGTGCTTTGTACTGCCTCATTCACGTGGCTTAGCTCTTGTTGGATTTCTATGGACCTTCACTCACAGAATTTCTCCCTCCAAATCTGCTGGGGAGGAGTTAGGACGCGTTCATCTCTACGAACTCATCTGATCTGACTTTGGATTCCATCTTCTTCCCCATTTATCAGGGCTTTGCGATGCATGTTATCAGTAGAGTGAATGAGATCATTCTATTCTTTAATCTCCTTCAAAAGATTTTGATGATGATGTTCCTGACAAGGAAGATCATCCAAGGCTAGTTGTGCCCTATGGAGATTTCTGAGCATGGATGAGAGCTACTAGATCCTCATTTTTCTTGAGGAGGTGCTCATTAGCTTGTCGTAGTACTTCAAATTCCTTGTTTGGTGGGGGATCTTCCATTGGCAGATTGTTTTATCGGTTTAGCAAAAGGTTTGCTAAAATTCTCTATTATCCCATGGCGTTGGCTTCTTGCTGGTTCTACAAGCATGGTAGATTTTCCTAAGTTTTGCTCATGTTGCACGTAGAAACCATCAATTACTGAAAGATTAGTAGAATTTTAGCAGGACTTGAATCAACGTTTCCCACGGACGGCACCAAACTGATGGTGTAATTTACACGGTCGAGTAGCAGAGCTTAGGGTGAAGAAAGTGGAAAACTAATTGGAGATTTGTATGGGATGTTAATGGAGTTTACTAGAATTTCCAATTATAGCAAATAGGCTCTAAATAGTTGTACAATCGACACAAGGTTAATAATCGAGAATAGAAATCACATATAGGGGGTTTATAGTGGTTCACTAGTTTGGAAGCTTGGCTAGTCCACTCTAATGGAGTCTCCTGCTCCTAGGGGAGTTTTCTATTACTTGGGGGAAGACAATTACAATTCTCTTGAGAGCCAATTCATAGTTATTTAGTCTTTTATAATGTGAGGGGTTGATCCCTATTTATAGTGAGTAGGTGCATGGCCCTTGCATAAACGACGTAACTCCCTCAATGTCATTGCGGTCCATGTGATGGAATATTTGGCCATTGGAGGCTACATTCCCTATGTGTGACATGGCCTTCTAGAAGGTGCAAGTTGTCACTGTCGTAGTGTGCACGAGAGCAATGTTGGTACTAACATCATCTGTGTTTCTCGAGCTAGGGGTCATGAGCTAGGAGGTTAGAGTTGGGGTCACAAGCTAGGTAAATAGGGATTGGGAGTTCGGCTCATTCACCGACCTTAGTTGTCTTGAACTGGAACCTAGGGCATGTTTTCGAGCTGTTACTTGTCCGAGTTTAACCTTGCATATTTTTTTTATCAACAAAAGTATTTTATATTATTAACAATGATAAGGTTATTTGTAGTCAAGACTCTAACTTTTAGTTGGATTCTAAGTAAAAATTTGAAAAGTTTCATTTAATATGAGCCTCTCCTATGAGCAAACTCTAGTTTGTAATCAAATCATTCTAAAAACCATGTATTTTTCTGAAAGCCTATATATCTCCTCTTTTTGTCAAAACCTTTTTTCGTATTTTCTTTTATCTACTTCTTTCCTTTTAAAATGTATTTCTTGCCAAGAGCTATTAAGATACAGTCGACTTGAATCGACTGGGAGGAGGAGTTTTAATAGTGCATTTGTAAAATTGAAGTTTTAATGAATAGTTTGCATAATATTCAAGGGTGGCTCATGCAAAATTGAACTTCAATAGTGGTCATAAATCGTATGTGAGCATGATGAGTCTATATAGTTGAACTTTAATAGTCGTGCAAATATGGTGGGATATTTAAGTTTTCCTTAATTTGATACTGGTTTTAAAAAGATTGGACAATGTTTTTGTTAGTTTGTATTCAAATTTAAAATTTGTGACTCCTGAAGACGGATTACTTACCAAAGGTTGATGGATCCAACCCAAACTCTACACCACCTAACTAGGGTTTTGGCTATTCCTTCCTAAGACAACAACTCTGACAATGTGAATGTCATCTCCAAAAAAAAATATCCTCGGTCAATAATTTATGAATTCCATTCACTTTCCAACAATGAGCACATAGCTTTTAGGCTACCAAAATAAAATTACAATCCGTAAATTATTGAATTAATTCTTAATGTGTAAATCCTAGAGTCATGGCCCATGCCTTCTATCTAACTCCTAAGATTCATCAAAACTTTTGATCTATAGGTAAAGTAATGTATAGGTGTTACACCAAAATATGTTGTTATCAACGGATGAGGTTCAATCGACAGACAGTTTTCATGCGATTGTCTATGATGGTTTCAAGTGGCTTGTTTTAAGACTTCCTTGGAAAAATTTTAAGAGATATCACACAACACAAGGAATTAAAAAAAAGATGATTCATTTATTAATTCAATCAAAAAGACTTTGGTTACAGAGAATATTGTATTTAACAGCCTTAATTGTAGCAGTAATTGCTTCCTACAACTAATCTAAAACTATTCCTAAAAATGCCCATATCATAGGTCTTGTAGGGGTTTGAATGTGTCATTCATCTTCTCCACTAAATGCCTTTTATAGCCATTTCATTCGACTATTTTTCATGCATTGATGGTTATCCGACTAGTAACTTCTAGTTAGTTATTTCACTTTTTCAAATATGGTTGTGGCTTATCACCTCCCGCCTTTCTTTAGGAGAACCATGTGACATCTTCTCAATACATTCAAAATTTTCAGATGTTAATACCTTGAATAGTTTTGTCATTTAATATTTTAAGTCCAAGCAATGTCCCCTCATTTAATTGAGTTTAACCTTTGCTAATCCAAATGAATGAACAATCATGATCGTTGTTCTCTTCAAACACTTACATAAAAAGTTTTGACAGCTTAACTGTTCATTTTTCCCTTCTTCATTTAATCGAGTGATAACTCAAGAAAATGAACAATTTGTAACTACTTAACGCTTGATCGACTATTTAGAGGTTTTGGCTACTGCACTATTCATTCAAACCTTTGTCCGTACTCCTTAATTTCATCTTTACCTTTAACGGATTCTCTTTGTTTTTTTCTTCAAAACCTTGGCTTTCCTTAATGGTGTCTAAATGAAATATAGACCACTCTTCTTCTACCAATCTTTCTCCGGATATCCTTCTTGTTCCTTGCTTTTCTACTAGCCTTAGATATGCCATTTGAGAGTTAGTAGATGATAGAATCTTGATTCCGACTAAGGATTCTAGATCAAAATTTTCATTAGGTCCTACCTTCAAATCTAGCATCTCCCCAGTACTATCTAAACACTATCCTATTTCAAAAGAAGAAGTCTTAACGTTCATCCCCCCCCAACCTTCGGCAGAAGTTTTGGGACCAAGGAATCACTCCTATGAAGACTTAGGTTGATCTAAACCAACAATGGTCTAACTGGGTGGAAAAAAGGATCGCATATTTTTCTAACCAATGGAGAGAGCAAAAGATTTATCAACAAATCAAGCTCTTGAGGAGTCCATTGTTTATAAATCGTTGGCTCAAAGGTACAGTCAGTTGCTTTTGGTCAAAATCCTATAATGCCATGTTATTTCCCATTGGTTGATGTCTCCATCTATCCTTGATATTGTACACCTAGCAGGGCTCCCATCGACTGTTATTAAGGTAACTACGAATCTGAAGCCTGGTCATATTTTGATAGATATTCCAACTAATTTCAACTACTTTGATCATACACCTTCTTTTACAAGCCAGACCCTACTCTCCTTCTTATAAGGAGTATGTATCTTTCCTTCTTCACTGGCTCTATCACTTTATCCTTTTTTATTCCCAACCTCAATGTTACCACAAAGTATTATAATATTGCCATGCTTTTGGCCTTAGCCCTTTTCATTTTGGGAGCTCTTTACATAGGCCTCTTCAACATGACCGAAAGGGGAATTAACAATCATTGTGGAGTACCTTTCTTTTTATTCCTAGCATGGTTATATGCCTATTTTCCTGAAATTTGGGTCATTGAGTATTTCCCTCTGCCAAAATTTTGTCCTATCAACTATGCTCACTATGTCCTTATGTTTGTGTCTCCTTCTCTACATAAGGATTTCAACTTCTACTTCCAGGCCTTTCATAATCTAGAATTTGATAGATATCCTCCTCTTTTCTTGCCTTTTCCTAAATGCATCTACCCCTTGTCACGTCTCAAAGCATTTTTTGACAAATCCATTGCCCTTACTAATGAGCAAGCCTATTGTCACACTTTTTGGGGCATAATCCTTCTTCCTCGTTACCTTCATGTGGGTGGTGAGATTTATGATTCCAAGTAAACCCGGTGTAGTTTCAAAAATTGCTCCCCTAGTCAGATAGCCAGATAGTTTGGATTTATAAAGAGAGTTTGAGTGCTTTTCATGAATCCCCTTGTTAATGAACATGAAAATCCAAGGGTCAAGCTCAAATCCCCTATCATGTCTATCTTATTTCTTCAACTTACAACAAGTCTTTGAAGGCCTTTCATTTTGAATATCTCCATGGGGAGCCATCTGCAACCTCTCTCTTCATAAATGGGTGGCACAGTGCTTCAACATTAATCTTCGATGACCACCTAGATGGTTATCTGTCTAGGCTATATTTTACCAATCAAAAATCCAATGACCTATCCTTCTTGCCAGCAGATTTATTTAACGAGCTCCAGGCAGGGTTATCCACAACCATTCTCTTATAGCTTTATTTATTTATTGAGGGTCATCTTTTGACAAATCTTCTTGAAGATCCTGCCACTAGGGATACCTCTCCTTAACAAAAAAATTCTAAACAACAAGTAGGAGATGTTATTGAAGAACAAGGTCTCTTCGTCTAGGAAAGCTATGCAAATGGTAGAGAAGACCACAATTAACGAAGCTACCTCAACTTTCTCTCCCATCTGCCAAGGAGCTATTGTCGACAAGGTGCCTACCGCAACCATGCCTTCTTTTGAAGTGGAAATTTCTTCAAGTTCTTCCTAGATTGAAGCAAAACAAGGCACAAGAAGGACTCAAGCCAACTAGTGGCTTTCAATACAAGTTCAAATGTCGCTTTTCTGTAGTCTTTTACACCATCTCATGTAATGGCCAAATTTGTGTGGCCTTTCCATTTGTAAATGACTTCAAAAATGCAAATCTTTTCCTTTCTTTAATACTTATTTCTAGTTTTTGTTGCTCTTTTTTTTATACATCCTGAAAACTCTTGCAGCCATACTTAGTGTGTACTTTCACATGCTCATTTTAATTTATGTTGTAGGATTAATCCCACATGGTTGGATGATATTTCTTTAATACCTCTCATTAATGGGTTTTTTATATCACTCCCCCTCCAGGGATTGCAAATGG